TTTTGAAAAGTATTTACTCCTGCCCGGCTGTATGGCTCAGTGGTTGAGCGTTGACCCACGCACCAAGAGGTCGCCAGTTCGATTCCCCGTCAGGGCACATGCCCAGGTTGTGGGCCAGATCCCCAGTGGGGGGCATGTTCTCTCTCATCGATGTTTCTGTCTTTCTCTTCCTCTTCTTTCCTCTCTCTCTAAAATCAATATAGAAAAAATTTTTTAAAAGAAGTTATTCCTGTTATCAAGGCACTTACAGATCAGGTTTGGGAAGGTTATCTGTGCACAAGTGAGGGAGATGACCACTTTTGCCATCGCTTATTGGGTGACTTCTATGTGTCAGGTGCCGTTCAAAGTGCGTTACGTGCACAGACTTAGTCTTCAGCAACTCTATGAACTAGGTGATATTTTTATCATTATTTTACCAATGAAGAAACTGAGGCACAAATTGTTTAGAAACTTGCCCAAGGTCAAACACCTAGTAAGTGGCAAATTCAAGCCACAAACTCAGGCAAATTAACCACAATTGTTATATTACATCTCATGTTGGGTAGAACATACATACATGTCAATAATAATAAATAACTAAAAAATCACTAACAACACTAAGGTAAATGATAAATGGGGAGAGCATATGATAAATGATAAATGGGGAAATCATTCTGGGTTGTTGTGTTCAAGGAAAACTTTGTGAAGTGAAAGCACAATCGATCCCAACGACCTCACCCACAGCACCTTGTCGGAGCTGCCCGTGAGCACTCGGAGGCTCTGAGAAGCTGCGGCCGAGAACCCGTGCGGTGAACCCACTGTTTCCCAAACTCTTGGGATGTGAAGCCTTGTTTCCCCACAGGGAATACTTAACAAACATCATTTGGCACAAACTTTTTATTTATTATTATTATTTTAAAAATATATTTTCTTTATTGATTTTAGAGAGAAAGGAAGGGAGAGAGAAATAGAAACAACAATGAGGGAGAACATTGATTGGCCACCTCCTGCATGCCCCCCACTGGGGATATGGCCCACAACCTGGGCATGTGCCCTGACCGGGAATCGAACTGACGACCTCTGGTGTGTGGGTCGATGCTCAACCACTGAGCCACACTGGCTGAGCTGGCACAAACTTTTTAGAGCGAGTTTGCAAATGTTAGTTTAGAAGAGTGAATTAGATCTTAGGGTCATCTATCACAGACTATCCTGCATTTCTCCTCCTCTGCTGTCAGTAACCAGAAAGGATCTGAAGTTATGAGAGGAGGCGCTGTTAGAAATGTCCACGGGTGGGATTTGTAGGCTATGAGTGGAATTCATGCCATCAAGTTTTATTTATTAAGTAAACCTTCTCTCTAGCCGGGGTTGTATTATCATGAGCTCTAGGGAAGGCATAGATTAAACAGGTTGGCTCACTCTGGCTGACAGCAGTATTTACTTTAAAATCAAAAAGGACAGTTTCGCCCTGGCCAGTTTGGCTCAGCGGTTACAGCGTCGGCCTGCGGTCTGGAGAGACCCGGGTTCGGTTCCCGCTAAGGGCACGTACCTTGGTTGCAGTTTGTCCCCAGCCCTGGTTGGGTCATGTGGGTGGCAGCCACTCGATGTGTCCCGTTTACGTTGATGTTTCTCTCTCTCTCCCTCCCACTCTATCTGAACAAAGAATGGGAAAAAAAAAAAAAGGACAGTTTCTTATTTTCTCTGGTCTTATCCATGTATCTTTAGTTCCACAAGAACACTGTCTTCTTCTATAATACATTTTTATAATATTTTGTCCATATTAAAAGGATTATCTTATGGTCAAGCTGGTTACCTGTAGGTATAATCATGCTCAATGTCTATTAATGGGTCTTATGTTTCCGTTTGCACAAAATCATACAACCTACAGAAAGCAAAAGACGTATCCCAACTCTCACGTTGTAGATTCTTTCTTTAAAATATACAGGCATTTACATTTGTTGAGTATCCCTCTTCTGTTAGAAATCCGTATGTTTTATGTATGTTCTCAAATGTTGACCTCACAACCACTCTGGGAGGTAGGTGTCCCTCTCACTTATACATGAGGGATGGAGGCTCAGAAAGAGTAAACCACATCGAGGTTAAACCACAAGTGATAACAGTGGTTTGAATTCTGCTCCGTCAAACTTCAAAGCCCACACTTTTAAAACGCTATCACATTGCTTCCTTAAAAGGGAAAAAATTACTGAAGAATAGATCAGCCCTCGAACGACCAGAACATAAAGCATTTCAGACAATTGAATCAAAGGTACACCATTGCTTAGATGACTAAGACAAGGCAATCTTCAAACCATAGCAACTAAACGTTCAATTTTTTCCAATAATCTCTCTGGCTTAAAAAAAAGCAAGCCCGTCATGGACCGTTTCACAGTGAAAAGCTCCTCGTTTAGTCGCTGCCTGAATGTTTGTCCATTCCACTCCCATGGGGGCAGGACTACCTTCTCCGTCCCCCGGGGTGTGAAGAAGCGCCCCTGGCCCTGCCGGTTTGGCTCAGCGGTCAGAGCATCACCTGTGGACCAGAGAGTCCTGGGTTCGGTTCCCGCTAAGGGCACGTACCTCGGTTGCTGTTTGTCCCCCACCCCAGCTCCACCACTGAGCCAAGCCAGCTGGGGCTCGTCCCCACCCCCCCCCCCTTTTTTTTTATCCTCATCCGAGGACATTCTTCCATTTTTGTTCAGATAGAGTGGAAGGGAGAGAGAGAAAGAAACATCGATGTGAAAGGGACACATCGAGTGGCTGCCACCCGCACGACCAACCAGGGCCGGGGACAAACTGCAACCAAGGTACATGCTCTTAGCGGGAACCGAACCCGGGTCTCTCTGGACCGCAGGCCAATGCTCTAACCGCTGAGCCAAACCGGCCAGGACAGCCTCCCCCCCCCCCCCCCCCTTTTAAAGCACTGTTTTCTTCCCACACATTTCTGACAGAACTATCAGAAGAAGATGCACGATCTTCTACTGTGGAATCTAGAGACTAAACAGAAAAGTAGGCTGTAGCTGAGGAAGAACTTTCATTTGAGCAGCGACGTGAAGGGCCAGTTCTTTTACCCAATCTTGCAAATAAATAAACACATAAATTAGTAATCCCTTTAAGCAATGTAAAAATGAGTTTGATTTCCCAAAGACCATCAACACTTCTTTACATTCCCCCCATGTATTCTCCATGGTCTCAGCCATGTGCGAATAGCAATTGGCCAAACTCCTTGTAACTGAAGAGGAGAGAACTTGCTTCTTTGAAAAGACCTTCACATACTGGTGTTTGGTGCTTTTCGTACACACTTTTATTTGCCAGAACAATATGATAAAGTTATTATTATCTGGAAATAATATTATAGGGGGTTCAGTCACTTTGCTGCAGTCACAGAGGGAGTTAGTGACAGAATCAGGACGGGGACCCAGTGTAGTCTCCAAAGCTTACCTGTGCCCTGTGAGGCTGTACTCCAGGGGAGAAGCAATCCGGTCTCTGAGCAAGTCTGAATGCTCCTGGAGGGGCGGGGTCTTTTTACACCCCAAGTATCTAGCACAATCTCTGGCACATAGTAGATCCTCAGTCAATATCTGCTGCACTGAAATTTAACTGCTCACATAGACGTGGTCTGTTGGACAATGTTTCGGCTAAGTTCTCAGGTGCCTTAAAGTCATGCCTGACCTTTAATTGGGATGCCACTAGGGTCTTGCTTTTTACTTTTTTCCTTTATTGATTTTAGAGAGAGAGGAAGTGAGAGGGAGAGAGAGATAGAAACATCAATGAGAGAGAACACCAATTGGCCGCCTCCTTCATGCCCCGCCCTGGGGATCAGGCCCACAACCTGGGCATGTGCCCTGACCAGGAATCGAACCGGCGACCTCCTGGTGCATGGGCCGACACTCAACTGCTGAGCCACACCAGCTGGACTAGGGTCTTACATTTGACTTTGACTTTGTGATATAGAACGTGCCTAAAGGAAAAGGGCTTTCCCTTCAGACCTGGGAGGCATTAAGAAATCAGTCAGATTCTGAATACCAATCTTAATGTAATGGATGTGGGGATATGAAGACACACGCGTGTTTCTGGGGAAAGAGGGTGGTGTTTTGTTGTTCTATTTCTAGATAAATTTAGGACACCCACTTGTCCTTCCTGAACAGTTCTATTGCTGTTGGGGGCTTCCAATCCTGATAAGCAAGACCATGTTTTGAACATACAAGTTTTGAATTGAGTCTGTTGTTTTCACAGCCTAAAACATTGAATCACATTCTGTGTCATACATGAGTTTTACAAATGTGAATGAGAAAAACCTCAGGACTCGGGGAAGGTGGAGCTGAATGGTGGTCCTCTTTCCCTAACTTGGGGCGAACTGTAAGTGCTGCCCTTTGGGCGTGGCTGTGTCTGCACCCCTAACGAAGGAAGTCCCACGGCCCATTTCTGTATCTGTGGTCTTTTTCCTGAAAGTTTCCTCTCCTGAGCAGGGGGTCCTTTTGGTTGAATCCAATTGGATAGCTGGCAACATGTTACCCGGTGAGAATCAGAATATTTTCATCTCGTTATATTTTTAAGAAATTATCTTTATTTTAATTGTTTATCTAGACATGCCAATGGATGTTTAGGCCACATTTTGAGCAAAAACTCACAAGGTGTTTTTTTTTTTCCCAAACCTCACTTGTGTACACAAAATAACACAATTTTAAGGGTTTGCTTAAAAGAACAAAGCATAAGAAATACAGTGAGATACAAGCTCATAACCAATTTTCAAATCAATGAGCAGATCTGATTCTACATGAGAGAACGTTACAGAACAAGTCTGTGTTTGGTAGGACTCTATGAAGACAGTGTTGTTGCAGGACGCTCTCCGGGTCCCTTCGTGGGAAGCCCTAGGCAGGTAGAAACAGAGCCAGAGCGGGGGTTTCACTCAACCTAGGGGGGGGGGGGGGGGGGGGGGTCAGGGTTTCACGAACCAGGTTCTGAATATTCATGGATGCTATTAAAAGGAAAAGCAGGCTTTGCCTATCGGGCCTGGCAGTGTTATATATTCTCTCTCTCTTAATTTGATTTCAACTTTACCTTGCTTACTAAAGATAGCCCTTTAATTCCTTTCTTCTCAAGCAATAACACAATTAAACTCAATAAGTCAGCTACTGATGGTCCATGAACCAGAAGAAGAATGTGAAGATGAAGTCCATGGATGATCCGCCAGCTGTGTCTTAACTGGTAACTGGAATATTGCAAGAGAGCCACTGGTAGGCAAGAAAAAAACCACATTTTCACATTCTTTCTCTTTCTCTCTTTTTTTGGCCTCAAAAAAAGAAACTCAAGAAATCTCCAGATGGTTGATTGGAGGCTACAGATGCATTTAGTGTACGCATCATGTCTCGTTTTACTTCTGATTTTTATTGTACTAGTAGCTGCTTCATAGGGTTAACTATCGAATATTTGGTAGTTTTTTCTGGGAGTCATTTTTCTTTAAGACCTAACTGTAACATAAACACTTTGCCCTATAAACTTGGAACTACTAAAAACACCCTCCATATTATTTATTTAAGTTACCATATAAATATAATTTAAACAAAGTCCATTTCCTAAAGTCAAGGTTGAGCTAAAATAGCATTTTATTTCTTATCTCTACTATATTGCCCCCAGTAATTGCTTTCCTTGATTTGATCACATGTATGTTAAAAATAGATACTCAAAAGCCCTTTCTGCATCACCAAACCAAAACAAGTGAGGTTTGGAAGCAGGGATACATTCAACATATTCTCTTTGGGGGCCCTACCAAGCTGAGAGCTTCAGAGTATAAAAGCAATGAAGAATCATATGTCAGTTCATAATTATTACAAAAAATAAAAATAAAAATAAAAATAAAGTTAGTGTTAAGTTTTCACAACTTTCCTTCTTACCCCTACCAACAGTTTCAACGTATCAAATCCATCCATTTCGTGAGGTTTTCACACTTTCCTTAGTACCATCTGACAATCTCTCCATATGTAATGAAACTATAACCAACGTTCTAAATTTCCCCTACACCTGCACTCTGCAAGCCTCAGTCTCTCTGCGGGAACTTATTACAGTCCAGTCAAGCTTCTAACATTTCATTTGTGTGTTAGGAGAAAAAAAAGTTGCACTTAGGAAATGAGAGTTAGCTGGCATTCGATCAGCTTGCGAAACAGCTTGATAGCAGCAGAAATGATCATATCATCACCTTCCACCACCATATCGTTTAAGTAAGGGGCAGTGCCAATTTTCATCTAACTTTAGTTATGCTGGAACTTCTAAAGAAAAGGTGCAATGCACAAAGTTTAGCCGACTAGAGGAGAATGCTGTCACGAACTGAGGTTGCAGCCAAGTGTCTGCAGAAAAAATAATGCAACAGAATTCCCAGGTGCTTCTGCTAGCTACAGCCATGATTACGCATAATGACCTACCAGGAAGGTAAATTCTGTCAGAAGACGGACATATTTTCTTTACTTAAATAATGTTACCTTCAGCTAAATGGGTGGGTAGGTGTTCACATGAAATGAAGAAAAAAGAAAAATCCAATTATGGTTAACACCAAAAAATTGCAGGCCAACCATAAACCAAAAAGGTGTTTGGTGCTGCAGCCGTGGCAGAAGGAAGCCTGCTGGGAGGCAGGGCCTCCCTGCCGACTCCAGGGCGGGGTCACAGGAGGTCCTGACACCTGCCGTGTCCTGCAAGCTGGACACACTGCCATGTTCCATGGCAAGTCACACACACAGAAGCTTCTCGGCTGGTGGGAACAGAAAGTGCAACATGGCCATGTGGAGAAGTGACTCAGGCTGGCTGAAGGGTCCTGTCACTCTGGGGAAATGAGCGGAATGCACAGAAGTTTCCAGAGATTCCCTCAGGGGCTCCATTCAGGTGGTTGTGACCTCAGCTGGGGTGCCTACAGGTGGACGTGGGAAGGAGGTTCAGAAGGACATCTGATATCTGTGAGGATTTAAGTGGGGCAGCTTTCAGAAGATGAAAGACGTGGAAAGTTAAGGCCTTTATCTGCAAACAATAGAATATTAATAAACTCTATACCATATTTACAAATGCATTCTCTTGTATTAAAACTAACAGGATTCTGTCACAGTGCCATTGTTTATAGAGGGAGCCATCCCATAATACTCACGTATTTTGGCATGAGAATCAGTAGCGCTTGGTATTTACAGGAAATGTACATGAGTGAATATAAACATGTCACTGAAACTGAGTTATCGCTAAAAGACAGATTGGCTAATGGTGCAAAGGAATGAGCTGTGCAGCACCTTCCCCTCGGGTGGGACAGGAAACGTGGATTCTTAAACTGAGAAGATGCCCAATCTCGGACCCAAAGTGCATAAAATCAGTAACAAAACAATGAACCCCCAGTTCAAGTTTGGGTACACTGGGTAACCTTAGTCCAAAGTTTTAGAGCCATTGTCTAGTGCATAAAATATAAAAGTTAAAAAGATTCATTATTATTTTATAATAATAATCATTATTATTATTAAAAGAGAAGGTCCTTTCTCTCATGCTCTCATTTGTGCTCTTGCACCGAGATCAGTATCCTTGGATTCCAAATGCGCTGGTGTTTTCTCAGCAGTCAGATGGCGGATGCTCAATGCTCTGGGTGGAGGAGCTGCTGCCTGTCACAGTGTGACCCAGGGCCCTGGGGACGTGGCAGAAGCACCTCTTCTTTCTCCCCAGGCTTCTCCTTGAGGGGCAGGTGTGCTCCCGGACTCAGCGCCCAGGTTACTGAATGGAGTGTCCGCAGTGAATGCTGAGGTGACGGATGGCTTCTGTACACGTGGAGGAAGGAGGGAGGCAGGTGAGGAGGAGGAAGGTAGCATTCCGAAGAGCCCCAGAGGGAACCCAGAGAGTGGCTGGGCCAACGGGCAAGAACCCCTAGAGGTCCTCTGAGGAGGCCTCTCGGGGCGGTTCTCCTGTGTGCAGAGCAGGGGACAGCCTGTGGCACTACGGGGCGACGCCTTCGGTCACAGTCTGCTCCTCGGTCTCAGTCCCGTGGTCTGCGCGGTCCGGGCCGCCACTGCCACCGCCACCGCCACCGCTTTTGTGTTGCTTGGGCAACAGGCTCTTCCACTGGGCTTTGTTGTGTGCGAGATGGCTTAGCATGAGCTCAGACAGGGCGCTGTTTCCGGTGAAACGGGCCCATTCCCGGAACAGTGGCTCCACGATGTAGGTCATGAACCCTGGAACAGGCAAGGCCGGACTCATCACCACCGCAGGAAAGCCCACTTCTCCCTCCCTCCCGGACAGCACTGGGGCCCACGACGTGCTCGGCCAGGGGCATGAAGGCAAGCCAGATGTGAGCCCTGCCTCAGCGGAGGAGCACGAGAAATGTTCACTTCAGGTCTGGCACGTAACCCCTCCGTGCCTCAGTTTCCCCATGGGTAAAAAGGAGCTAAGAAGGGTACCGAACCCATAGGTCGTTACGACAATGACATGACTTAACACATGTCTGAGGCTTGGAAAGCTCCTGGCACATGGTAAACACTCGGTGGATATTGGTTATTATTCTTCGCAAAGGGAAAAAGACATATAAACAAACAAGTGGAAGAAAGCCTGTGTTAGAGCTGAGGAGGACGGGTGGGGAGGGCAGGAAAGGGAACATGCTCTCAGGAAGGGGCACATCAAGGGTTTAGAACATCTGAAGATTCATGCATTTAGCCTGTAGAATATTGTTTTCCAGGATTATCGTTTCCTAGTTTTGTCTTTCAATTATGTTAAATAATTAAGAGTAGGCAAATAAAAGTTCATTTATCTTCAATACAGATTTTTATCTGCATAAAAAGTCTTGGTTTAACAACTAGATAAGATTATTTGATATTAGACTTCTTTGTTTGCACGTCTGTTCTCTTAATTATTTTAGACTTGTTGCTTTCTAATCATATTTCACTCTTACTGTGTGTTTCATATTAACATGATTTATGCAGGCAAAGATAACTTTCTGTCTAGGCTGGAATTGTTAGAATCATCGCAAACTTAGACATATTTAGGGTTTATTGTATTTCCTTAAAATGTAGGTGTAAGGAGAAAAGGTAAGTGTTTTTCAGCATAACAGTCTTCCGCCAGCTCACCCTGCATGCGTACAGGCATGTGAATTACAGGCTTGATTTGATTATCTTTTCAATGAACAAAGAGCAGATTCTTGGCCTCTGAGGATGCTGTAGAGATGGGAAGAGGATACAGCAATGCAGAACTTACTGTGCATTTCTGCATTATCTCATCTTAGGTGACATATAATTTAAATATTATGAGATCATATTAGATAACCCAAACCTGAGGAGGAACAGTAAGTCAGCAACTTTATGTCTGTATTTTGATAAATTTATGTAGGGAGTTAGCAAGTAAAGATTTCATTCTTGAGTTTTCTTGCTTCCTATTTTTTTTTTAAATCCTCATCCAAGGATATTTTTCCATTTATCTTTAGATAGAGTGGGAAGGGGAGAGGAAAGGGGGGGAGAGAGGGAGGGAGGGGGGGAAGAGAGAGAGAGATAGATAGAGAGATAAACATCGATGTGTGAGAGACACATCAACTGGCTGCCTCCCGCACGACACTGGCCAGGGCCAGGGACAAACTGCAACTGGAGCACATGCCCTTGACTAGAACTGAACCCGTGACTCTGGTTCGTGGGCTGATGCTCTGATCACTAAGCCAAACCAGCCAGGGCTCTTGCTTCCTATTTTGAACAGGACAGAGGAAATTGCTGCATTACTTAGGACCCACTAGAAAAATCTCTGTCTGGGATGCTGAAGCCTGCAGCCCCCATTAGACCCTGTTTATCTGTTTGGATTTTTCCAGTTTAGCCTGATCTAGCCCTGCACACCACACTTCCCAACCCTGAACCCACACAGCTGGGAGATGGGGAACAGAGACAGAGAAAGACGTATGAAGCAAGGGTTGTTTTATAATCATCTTCTCTCTCTCTTTATTATTGGTGTGCTGGTGTAGCATCCATGGGATTTTCCTAGTCACTCAGTCCCCATCCCATTTTAAAAACAGGTATCTATGGTAACCATTTTCCTGAGCTGCAATTCAGGACATATGATCTGACAAAATAAGTGTGTTCTCATGACAACAGGATAGAATCTCTGAAATCAGGCTTGTCCTGAAAATCCGGGTTGTGTGCTTAACAATGAGAATATTTTCCTTTGGCGGTTGCCAGTGTCTGGCAGATTTCTTTCTAGCCAGAGTTTCACAAAGTGGGTCAGTGGATTAGGATGTTGGTCAGGGTGGATTCCTTTTGTATCACATTGGCAGAACCTCGGCACCTAAAGCAGCCTGACGGGAGGGAGCTGGGTCCGGGCAGGCGGAGGCTGCGTTTCTGTTAATGTTGCTCCTCCTTCCCTCCCCCAGCGGTTCTGTCGCTTCATCGGCCTTGGATTCTCCCTGGGATCAGATTTTAATAACCCTTTCCCCTTTTTCAGTCAGAGGAATCATTTCAATTGTAAAAACAACAGAACAATATTAAGGGCAATTTGGGAAAAAGAGGACAATCAATACTCTCCTAGTTACAATGTATCTATTTTAATGTTTGTGGAGTCCATTCGAATCTTTGTAACTAGATTAATTTTGCCCGGTTCCTTAGGATGACGTCATCACACTTTGCGGGACTGTGGATTTCATCTGACCCCCTGTGACCATAAGCGTATCATTGAACTCGCTCTGGTTTTCTCAATTTTAAGCTTATCTTCTCCAGGTGCCCCCTTCACTCCCAATGTCAAGGCGTCAAGCTTGGAGCCTTGCAGAGGTCTGCGACACTGTGACAGCGTCGCGCTGTCTGAGGGTCTGTGGAAACATGAAAATCACGCCCTGGTACCTGTCAGGACCATTGCTTATAAGTAAGAGTTCAAGTTCTGAGTGGTTTTAGGTGGAGGCAACTAAAGAAAGACTTGCTTTACATGTGGGTGGAATGGGTAGTGTTCACAGTGACAGAAATTCCCACGGGGTCAAAAGTTTTTACCCACTAAACTGCCTAACTTCCAGTTTGATTCGTTAGTGATCTTACATATAACTTATTAAAGTGGTAATTATTTTAGATTCATTAACAACACAGTTTAACAGTTCAGTGCAGTTGACACTGGGTGTGGCCCCAGGACAGTGGGGCGAGGGGTGTACTGAAGGAGAACAGAGGGGCCCTGGTCTGAGGAACATCTCCCCTGGCAGAGCTCAGGGCCGGCCCTGGGGGGGTGAATGCTGGGCACGAAGCAGCATGAACCAGGCTGCAGGGTCCTAGAGGCCGAGGCTATGACTTCTCCCTCTTTAGTACTAAGAATCTGAGCAGCGAGGAGTTGATTCTTATTACTTTCCTTCTACACTGGTTTTGATTTAATTCTGAAATATGAATTTAATAAAGTTTAGTTAAGGGTCTGTAACAAAGCCTTCACCCTATTTTTCACCTTCTCAACTGGTAATGACCTAGTAGATTAGCCGTGATTAGCGTGTTTATCTGGACTCGGCCATTCACGGCCTTGGTGAAAGCCAGTCTGGGTCTTTAAAAGCTGTGTGCAGATCTTCCCTCTGTGCCTCTTGGCAGAGGCGCCAAAAATGTTCCTTTGAAATCGAAATTGAATTTAACTCACCAATTTGTATACTAGGGATTGAGTCTTTCTGTTGATTACAAAGAGGACTGATTTCCAGTTGAAATTTCTGTTCAAGGGCACCTAAGAAGAAAGAAGAAACAACACATTGATAATCCAAAACTTCTGCAAATGAGTGTGGATAGTTGTACCAACCTAGTTGGAAGTATCTGGGGACTACTCTTCCTGCCTTGTTAGCATTAGGAAGCCTTTAGCTTTGACTTGCTCTGCCTTGCTCTGGTAGCTTCTGTGAACATTTAAAATATCAAAGTGTCAATGACCATTTATAATAGGATTGTTGTGAACAGTTGTGCTCTGGGACCAAAATAAAGTTTTGAACAAGTTCTATAAAAACAAGGACACAACTAATGGGCAATTTCCTAATGTGAAATGCAAGTTCTGGCTTTAAATTGCAGGTTAAGAAAACAGATTTTATGCTTCTCCCCTCCTTTCGCTCTTCCTGACCCTCATCTGGTTTCGATGGAACAACCAGAGATAACAGGTAGGTGGGACGTGGAGATGAGGGACCAGGAGAGCTCATCTGAAGGGCCTCTCGCTGTGCAGCTACAAACTGAACAGAAGTAAGGGTCTGTTGGCTTTCATCCTGAGAATTTTACCTAGTGTAACTGAAGGTTACACAAAGTACGAAGGTCAGAATGATAGCTCTCTTTAATCCCGACGGCAGCTAGGAAACCAAAGGAGAAATGGACCACGGAAAGCTTCATCAGAATACTTTTATTGATTCTTCCTGAGGGTGAAAAATTGTGGGTAATTGTTGCATTGGGAAAATAATCTCGTTAATTAGTAGATAAGCTGCTCTTCAGAGGCATTAGCTGGGTTCAGAGTTGTGAATGTACCCCTCCAAACCACAGGAGATAAAAATACAACATTTGTATTGAGCTCACGGTGTACCAGGTACTTTCTACACATTGACCTAGGTACTTAATTTAATTATTTTTACCTAAGTAATTAATTATTTGCAAGGAACTAATTATTAAAATCTTTATAACCGCATTGTAACCCCCATTTTGTAGATAAGGAATTGAGATGAAGGAAAGGAGTATGTTGACCCAAGGTCACACTGTTAGTGAACAGGGCAGCCTGGATTCCATCCTAGGCGGTCCGGCTCCAGTGTCTGCAGTTAGCACTGAGGCAGAACCTTCGAGATGCCACATCTCCATCATCCTCTCTAAGACGGTAGCTGTGCCGCCCCTGCGGTCTGTGCCCTGGTGCTTCTCGAGAGTGTTGGGAAGAATCACTCTGCTGAACCTGAGGAGTTCAGGGAAGCCCGGTAACAGCCTTCTGAGGGCGGGGCATGCCGCTGTCCCATAAAATGAATTCCCCTAAAACCGATTCTACTCTCATGTTCATGTTTCTGTAAATAGTGGTTTTTCAATCGATCTTGACACTTTGGAGAAATTGTTTTTGATTTTTCCCTTTCCTTCACCCTCCACATTGAGGCAGCAAATCCTGTTTATTCCTCTTTTGGAGTATGTTTCCCCTACTTTCACTCTGCCTAACTCTAATCTGGTTGCTTGATGACTTGTTCTTTTTTTTTTAATCCTCACCCGAGGACATTTTCCCATTTTTTGTTCAGGTAGAGTGGGAGAGAGAGAGAGGAAGAGAGAGAGAAACATCGGCGTGAAAGGGACACATCAAGTGGCTGCCACCCGCACGACCAACCAGAGCCAGGGACAAACTGCAACCGAGGTACGTGACCTTAGCAGGAATTGAACCCAGGTCTCTCTGGACCACTGGCCGATGCCCTAACCGCTGAGCCAAACCGGCCAGGGCTGATGACTTATTCTTAGTTTTTGCTTCTTAGCTAGTTTTCTTCCTTCAGTATTCCTTTCACTTCAATTATATATGGTGCCCTAAATGTACTTTCTATGAGAAAGTGCCATGTTCAATTGCCTGGTGTATACTCCACAAAGCCTCTCATTTCTCACCTTCTATGGGACGAGCTGGTCCATGAGGCAGGGGTATAGGGCCCCACCTCAGTGCCTTTGCCCATTTCCACTCCTGTCTATGTAGACAGTGCTGTCCAATTGGATTTTCTGCATAACAGACATGTTTCCTGCACTGGCCATTACAGTAGCCCTTTGAAATATGATTAAAAATAGTGAGGAACTGAAATTTTAACTTTCTGTCATTTACTTAATTTAAATGTAAGTAGCCATGTGAGCCTTGTGGCTATCTTATAGGAAAGTACAGAACACTACTCATTCTCCAACTCCCAGCTCAGATTCTCCTTCCTCAGCCCTAGATCTTCTCCTGACCGCTACACAGAGGTCTTCCACTTAGATCATTCATTCATTCACTCACTCAACATATATTTATAAAACACTGTGTATTTTAGACACTTTGTTAATCAACACAGAGAATCCAAAGAGGAAAATGGCCTACTTTCTTTCCTTCAGAAACCTTACTGCTTAGTATTGTGAAGTTATGAAACATTAACTATAATTTGCATAATTTATGACATCCCCACGGGGCTTGGTGCATAGGGAAAATTACAGTGTTACTGAAGGTTAGACAGGCTGGGAGCAGATGTTCAATAAAAACTTCTCGGACCTTGGTTGATTGAGAAGATACCAGTCTAGGACAGAGATTCTACTTCCTTAAGGCATCAAGAGGAGAGGAAGAACCCTAATCCCCAATCCCAATCCACGGGATATCTCGTCTTTCTTTCTCTCTCTGTCCACAACCTTGATTGCAGGGGGTTTCCTCTGCTCATTTAGATACTTAGGCTGGGACTGTTAGTAGCCTATGGAGACCTAAGTCCTAAACTAAAAGCCAGAATAAGATTAATCAAAATGATAAAAGTCATGCTTACGGAATTTTAAAAATATCAATTCAATATGGAAGACATACAGTTTGGACAAGAATCTGGTCTTCTCTTAAACAGGCTGAACTTCTGCTAGACCAAAAATGCAATTAAATAACAAGGACCCAACACGCCCTCTCTATTCCTCTTTCTCTGCAGGAGACAGGCCAGGGCAAAGGCACGGAAGCTCACCTTCAGTGATCAGAGTTACAAATGTTCTAGGTTGTTCCATCGTATGAGGCTGCACATGTGTACAGTCTGAGGACCATAACCAGTTTTTTTGCAAAGAGATCTTACAGATTATTTTTCTTGGTTGACCCCATTTACTTCCCTTAATTAACAACTTTGATTCACCAACTGCGCAGACCTTACAATCTGCCCAAGTGACATGGTCCTCAAATTGCTCATAGTCCAAATAAGGGTGCAAGATAGGCAAATGAAGGGGTTCTACTGTGATCCATGCCAACAGGAGCACATGATTGAGTCAAAACCAAGAAGGACAAAGTGGCATCTTTTCTTTCCTATTGATTGAGTCCCAAGAATGAAGAACCAAGGACAGCCCTGGCCGGTTTGGCTCAGCGGTTAGAACGTCGGCCTGCGGTCCTGAGAGACCCGGGTTCGGTTCCCGCTGAGGGCGCGTACCTCGGTTGCAGTTTGTCCCCGGCCCTGGTCGGTTGTGCGGGTGGCAGCCACTCGATGTGTCCCTTTCATGTCGATGTTTCTCTCTCTCTCTCTCTCTGTTCCTTTCTCTCCCTCCCCCTTTACCTGAACAAAAAACAAACAAACAAACAAAAAAAACACACACACAAAAAAAACAAAAAACCAAGGACAAAGTGGCATCTTTTCTTTCCTATTGATTGAGTCCCAAGAATGAAGAACCTAGCCCTTCTCGTACTGTGCTATGTCAGTGTTTTTTATACCACACAGTAAAGAAAGTACTTAACTTCTCTAATCTGAAACTTCTCTGTTCCAATTTCACTCCGTTTTCCTTTGTTTTCCCCTCCGTGGAGATTTTACATCAGGGGTAACTAGAAATGACCTTGTGATTTGTAACCACTTACACCCAACCGAAGTGAAATGACAGAGTGTGGGAGCACCGTGAGCGTGTTTCCTCCGAGCGACAGAGACAGTGAGCAGAGCCTTCGTCCAAACACGAACCCGATCCATCTGTCTGTCTTCTGTCCTTGGGACCATTACAATGTCACGGACACATCTTTCGATGGAGGCTGCCCCACAAGGCTTACTGCTGCTACTGACATCCCCACGGAGCTGGTATGTGGGACGCTTCAGGCTTTATTTGTTCTCAGCCTCTCGAACCTGAGCCCATCACTAACACCCGGGCACTGCGGTGCCTGGACAAACGTCCTGGGCCTGAAGCCGGGCCTGAGGAGACAAGGCCGCGTTTAAAGGCTCGTAGCCCGCCCAACGGCAAGCTCCTGCTCCAAGTCGTGGCCTCGTTTCTGAACGAGGTTAGTTTCTTAAAAATATACCCTAACCAGCCCTGGCTGGTTTGGCTCAGTGGTTGAAGCATCGGCCTGCGGACCAGAGAGTCCCGGTTCGGTTCCCACCAGGGGCATGTACCAAAAAATATATATATACCCTAACCACGGGCCATTTGACTTTTCACGTTTGTATTTGAGAGGAGGAACTCAGTTCTTAGTCAGCTGCGCTCTATTTCATCATTAGCTGCAGTTAAGAGAGTGAGGGGAAGGAACACAACAGGAGGTAAGTCCTTCTGGCAGCGAGGAAAACACTGGCCGCAGACGGCATTTAACCTTCGGGCTGCGCTCAGCTCATTAAAATGAAGGTCAGAGTGAAAATCAAACTGTCCCTCACACTTTTATATCCACAGAGGAAAACCATTAAAAAAAAAAAGGAGATATATATATATATCCCATTCTCACTTTTATTGCACCTCATTACTACCTGTTTCTGTAATAAGTCAATGTTATTTATTTTGAAGTTATTTCCAAAAAAGGGATGGACGGTTTGTAAGAGAGCTAAAGAGAAAGGTTAGGATAATAGGAGTTGGTGGAAGAACAAACGTCATGACAGATCAGCCTCTTCCTGTTTGACTGGGGTAACCGACCGAAAGGGGGAGGGCCGTGCGACCCACCTTGCCTGAAGAACTCCTCACAGACCCGCTCACTCCACTTCTTGCTCATCTCCCAGATTCTGCAAGGATTGCAGATGTCAGCACACTTCAGGGCAATCTGAGAAGGACAGGGCGGGGAGAGACTGTCAGAGGGTCACCTTGCAGCAGGAATGCACCCCGAGCCCAAGGGGCGGCCAGCCTGCCAGCGTGCCGCCTGGTGCCAGGCCTGCGCTCACACCGGCCTCCCTGACGTGTCTCTTCAGGAAACAACACTTCTTCACCGCACACAGACCCTTCATTCAGAGCTGCCGCTTTATAGCAGCGAGAAGGAGAGAAGAGCCACCGTCCAAGCACACGGAGCTTTCTGGAGGAGACGTGGGGTGTGCTGGCCAAGGAAAGCCATGGCCTGGTTCCTTCTGCGGCCCCACCTCTCACGGGCAGGGAGGCCGAAGGACTCCAGCCAGGCTCAAGTGAGATCATTTGGACCTCACTCTCACAGTGGCCAACATGACCAACTACATACATCACCTAGATGATGTGTGTTGGCATTTATGTGCCCGTGTCTCTGTGTGTGACCAAGTGCAGACTGCCAGCCAGGGAGCTAGGTCACATCAAAGCGAGGAGTGTTTTGTTTGCAGAACTAAATCAAGGCCTCTTAGTTTGCCGCACACTGGCCTGGATCCGGGATGCCCGCGTTCTCAGTGATGATGACCCTGGGAGGGTTACCTTGAGCACCAAGAGAAGTAGATTCTGCCCCTTAGCACCAGCCGCAGGAGACGTGCCTGCCCACAGCAAGGTCTGTTTGTTTGACTCAGCTTCCTGGGATCACAGAACTGCTAACAGTGCTGGGGTCTGGGACAGTCTGGGTCACATTAAGCTGCAAATTTGGTCGTTTCTTTTTTTTCCTGGTTAACGGGGGCACCAGTACACGCTGGAGTAGGTAAGGGGCAGAAGTCCCCTCCAAATTCTGCCCTTTCACAACGTGGCTCAAGTCTCTAAAATCAGACCCTGTTGAAGAAACGAAGACACAGGGCTGCTGCTGAGAGGAGAGCATTTCCTGGGAAGGAAGGGGAGCTTTGGACACTAGGGGGCAGCATGGAGGCTGGAGCAGAAAAGACTGCCCAGTCAGCCAGCCACATGCAGCTCCGCCTCTCTGGTTCAAGTTGGTCTACTTAGATGCGTCCAGGGTCCATTCAGTCCATCTTTTGTGCCAAAAGGAAGACAAGAGAAAATGGAGGATCAAGAAAAAGGCTCTGGTTTGGATACCACGTCAGAGTTCTACTTCTGGGGTCCACTCCTCTTGTTCTCATGTCAAAAATGGCTTCTTGCCACGGAATGGCACAGAAAGAGCTGGGCTTGATATGATTTAATCCGTCCAGTTAAAACGGTTTATTTATCAGTGCCTAAACATGCAAAGACCAGGTAAACGTGAGAGCCTGAGAGGAAAATACGAGTTTAGGGAGTAAAAGGAAATAAAGCAAGGTTTGATTGAATAGGTTTTCGGTAAGGGGAGACTACTGGCTAATCAATTTTTTATTTTTATTAGTTCACATAGTATACTTTTGTGTTGTAGAAGCAGCCTTCTACAACTGCACAGGTATCGCAGAGGTCAAGTTGGCATCAGGGCCCAAAGGCAGTGGGCTCTGGCTGCGCACAGCTGCCCAGTGGGACGCGTCCTGTGTGGTGAAGCAGTAACCAAACAGGAAAAAATGAGATGTTATCAACGTACTGATACATGCTTGGAAACCACTCAAGAAATTTCACATTGTCTCACAGCTTTGAATAAAGTGGGTCACTGCTCTAACTTATACCATGGGAGATACTCTTTCTCAAATGTGCTAAAATTACTGACCATGTCCCCAAGTGTTTTTACCCAGCAAGAATACGGCTTTGTTGTTGTTGTTTACCTGAAGCAGAAAGTGTCTGTCCTGTACGTCCTCCAGCCTTAAGTCTTTATTTTGGAGGTGAGCTTTCAATCTGGTCAAAAACTCATTCTGCCTGTTGATGTCTGTTGCCAAGATCAAGGAGCCCAGCTGTTGTTCAATATCCCGTCTGCATCCACAAAAATGAAGGAGAAAACACACACACAGAGTAAATCCTTCTGAGGAGGGTGATTGATTCTGTCATCAACAGGTGGCTTGTAATCTATTTCTGCCTTGGATACTGTTTATTACACAGAGTCCCATCCCTCGCAGCATAGGAGTGATTCTCTCACGCACCATCACGTCTGCCCTCGGACAGAATGCATACTAAGAACTGCAGAGAGTGACCAAAACCTCGGGTGGACAAAGTTGGGGTAGTTTATACATTCCCATGGCTCCTCTGGGCAGAAAAACTGAAAGCCAACTAGAAATGTATGCTTTAAGGAGGACACAGAAAGGCTCTCAGAATCACAGGAATTTGGGTTGTGCTTTTATAGCGTTCAAACCAGCTCAAACAGTAAGATTTCATGGGGAAAAAGAGAGCACAATAACAGCAATGATAATGAAGACACTACTGTAGTGACTGATACTGTGGGAGGGGAAGATCCATCAGTGAAAACAACACAGTCTGGAAAGAGACACCGCAACTTCAAGGACAGTGGTTGATTAAGGCACTATTCCAAACCAGAAGGCAAGCAGTGTACTGGTCAAAAACGGTATTGAGAAAATGGGGTACTTTGGGAAAATAAAACAAAAGTAATCAATGAAAGGAAAGATTCATAGCTATTTCTAAAATTTACCTTTAAAAATGAAAAATATTTAAGTAGAGTGCATAGAACATACATACACAGCTTAATGAACCAATATAAAATAAACGTAATCATCACCCAGGTCAAGAACATTGCCTGCCTGTACCCCAGAAGGTCCCACTGTATCTCTGTCACACCCCTCTTCTCCCAGCCCCTGAAGTAACCATTCTCTTGATCTTTATTTAAAAAATTTTCTTGCCACTTTTAATAAATTTACCACCTATACATGTGTGTCTAAATAATATGATTTAATTTTAACTTTAAATTACAAAGTAAATATTAGTTTGTGACTTGCTTCTTTAGCTTAACATTATTTTTTTAAGTCATCCAGGTTGATGTGAGCTGTAGTTCATCCATTTTCATTATTACACTGTATTCTATTGTAGTAATATTCTACAATGTTTTTATCCATTCCACTTTTTGATGGTCACTTGAGTTGTTTCTAGTTTTTGACTACTATGAAAAAATGCCACAGTGAACACCCTTATAGACCTTCCTTCATGCATGTGCAAAAACAGTTTCTCTAAAATAATAGTAGTAATAGAATGAGATTCTCATGGCTTTATATTTTTACTCTTTGCATTTTTGTCAGTCTGAGAAGTATGTCATGCAACTCCTTTAATATAAATTTTCTTGATTACTAGTTAGGTTGGACATATTTTCATGTGTTTATTGACCATTAATATTTCCTCTTCTGTGAAGTTTCTATTCTAGTCTTTACCTGTTATTCTACTGGGTTGTCTTTGTTTTCCTTACTGATTCTAATTGTTTTTTAAAATATTTTTTCAATAGCGGTCCTTTGTCAACTGTGTGTTGCAAATATCTTCTTCCATAATGTGGCTTGTCTTCCTGATTTTTAAATGACATCTTTTGATAAAAAGAAGTCTTGATTTTTAGTATAGGCTAATCTAGAATTTTTTTTTTTTTTTTAATGCTCACTCGAGGACATTTTTCCAATTTTTATCCTCACCCGAGGATATTTTTCCATTTCTTGTACAGATAGAGTGGGAGGGAGAGAGAGGAAGGGAGAGAGAGAGAGAAACATCGATGTGAAGGGACACATCGAGCGGCTGCCACCCGCACGACCAACCAGGGCCGGGGACAAACTGCAACCGAAGTACGTGCCCTTAGCGGGAACCGAACCCGGGTCTCTCCGGACCGCAGGCCGACGCTCTAACCGCTGAGCCAAACCGGCCAGGGCCATTTTTCCAATTTTTATACAGATAGAGTGGGAGGGAGAGAGAGGAAGAGAGAGAGAGAGAGAAACATCGACGTGAAAGAGACACATCGAGTGGCTGCCACCCACACGACCAACCACGGCCGGGGACAAACTGCAACTAAAGTACGTGCCCTTAGCGGGAACCGAACCCGGGTCTCTCCGGACCGCAGGCCAATGCTCTAACCGCTGAGCAAAACTGGCCAGGGCCTAATCTAGAATTTTTTAAAATTTATGGTCAAGCAATTCTTTTCTGAATTTTCCTTAGTTTGTACAGTTAGCCTTTTTAACCTTTACTTTTAAAATCAGAAAAATTATTTTAAAGCATTTGTGTAGGGACAGAGGGAATAATCATGGTATTATGATGATAACTTTCATGATAAAGTCCTTTCACATATATTATTGCATACCAATTATTCTTTTAGCAAGAGCAATTTATAACATTGCATCCCACAAAGACAAAAAATATGGTACTTTTATTTGGAATCCATGGGATGAGTGGGAGTAGCTTCGAAAATGAATTAACTGAGCAGCAAGCAGAATTAACGTGGGTATTACAGGAACAAGTCCTCCGTTTTTCCTTTTGTTTTGTTTTGTTTCCCTGTTCTCACTCTCCTCCCTTCCCTTCTCCTTCATTTCTTTGGCTGACCCTTCCACTAACCTCCTCTTTTCAACTCCTTCTTACTTGATTTTTTGTTGTACTGTTTAGTTCTTTTTGCATTTCTTTTGATCTTTGCAATTTATCATCTTAGTAAAAGGCACACGTTTTTGTTCCATGCATGAGGATTGGTTTTTAGTTCCTGGGAGTAAAAAGTTATCAGAACTGAAGTCCTTCCTGCAAACTCAATATCCCTCTGGGTGCTAGGAAACAGAGTGAGAGAGTGTCAGAGGCCAGCAACACACCGCGAGCCCGGAATATAGTGCCTGTTCTATGGAAAGACATAACTTGGCCACCGACCTTGGGCTACGCGCCTTTCAGAAGGAAGGGTACCGAGATGTATTTATTTCTTTCTCTCCTAGCTACCTTGGGTTCTGTGCGTTTTAATTAAACAGATCGGAATTTGTGCTGGTCTTGGTAGGCAGTCCAGCAGTTAACTTGGGGCCATGTAGACAATGAGGCAGGGCCCTTGGATTCAGTCGGACGCGGCCTAAATGCCTGGCTAACGAACAGCAGACCAGGAAACTGGTGGTTCCCATTCCGCAGGTAAATTAATGGTGAGAAAATTGCTGGGGCCAATTCAGTTACTTAACAAAAGACATGTTAGAAAAATAATTTCTGACTTCTATTTTTGCTGAGACTGGCAATTATGAAACAAACTTCACTTAAGTAGCCTTAAAACTAGCTCGGGCACTCCTGTGTTCTTTTTGATAAATATTTATTATTTGGGTCTACACAGGAGGACGATTTTGTTAACACAAAGGACAGGAACTTGGCCAAGAAGAGCACTGGTGCTGAAGAGTGTGAAAGCGGAGCTGTTTATTCTCCTTTTCCTGACGCCAGGTCGTGGACGATCCGAGGCCCTTTCAGAGCTCCCAGAGACTCTGGTTCCTGGGCTGCAGTACTGACACTGAAGCCCCTCTGATAGACAAAGCCCGGTGCAGGCAGGGAGCACAGCAAGCTGGCTCCCGAGCGTTAACCCCGGGGGTCTCAAGCGTGCCCTAGAGAAAGCGGCTTATCTCTAATGTGTGGACATCAGTATGTTTCATCTCTACACTACTTACGTCATTTCCTTTGGCAAGTGAGCAAGAAGCCTTGATTCTCGAAGCATGCCAATTGTAGATCGCCAGTGGTGATTCTCCAGCACAGACGTATTCTAGAAAGAACATTAAAGCTGTAAATGAGAGAGAAGCTAGATACGGATCTTTCATGCTAAACACAGCTTCACGGAGGCCGGCATTTTCCCTCTTTGATGGCAAAGAGGCAGACCGAAAAATAAACACGAAATAAAACAATCACAGGGCCTATTCTCAAGGCTATGATGATGATAGAATTGTGGCCCTTGCTGACCCTACAGTGGAGGACTGAATGGGGGTCTGTTTCTGGTGTCATTCACTCCTGCCTCAGCTCCTGCTTTGATGGCTCAGTCAGGTCAATGTGGGAGGAGGTGAAGCACACACAGAGGGGGAGTATGGATGCCATGGGGCTATGTGTGTAAGATGAGCCCACATGATCCTACTCAACCCAACAGAGGCCGGCCTCATGCCTCTCTGATCCACTGTCCTCACCATTGTTTTTCAACACGCCTAAGAAACCTTCCCTCTAAACCACTCGGGCAGCTGACGACATACCCAGCCTCCTGAGTCCCAGTCAATGCAGTTTTAATTTGGTGGGTCTGTCTGACTAATTTTTATAGATGCTAAAGTTTGAGAACCACTGCGAGGGAAGCAGCTTTGTCAATAACCTTTGTGACCTGGTATATTGGCATTTAGCCCATTAGGTCTCAGTTTGAATCTACAATTGCTTCCTTGTTCAATTATCTTGATATTTCTTTCCTTGTAGGAACCTCTACTATGTTCAGGCGCTCCTTTGCCCTTACTGTTATCTTAAATATGCTGCTTGTCTGAACATTAACTATTTAAATAATGACTGTTTCTTACAATCCTGTGTTTGGGTCTAGTTAGCAAACATTATGGCTTTACCACTGACTTGATACATAGAGAATGAAATGTGTCTAGTGCCCTAGAAATCGTTTTCTATTTCCTTATTTGTTTATTTATTCTCCATTTCATTTCAAGTGGGTTATACACTTAGAAAAAACACAGGAAGATAGCCTTCATTAAAAGTGAGGAAAAAACACAGGAAGATAGCCTTCATTAAAAGTGAGGAGAAATGACACGATTCTGCTTGTATGAGACACCTAGGGTAGTCACGTTCGTGGAGACAGAAAGATGATGATGCCAGGGGCTGGGGGAAGAGGCAGTTACTATTTAATGGGCACACAGCTTCAGTTTTTCAGGATAAAAAGAGTTCTAGAGAGGGACTGTACGTGTACAACAATCTGCATGTACAGTTAAAGTGATGAAAATGGTGAATATTATACTGCATTACGGTGCCGCAGTGAAATGAAAAGGTGAGCAGAAGCAAAGAGAACAATGTAGAGACTAAATGGAGCCTGGAGACTGAAACATATTCCATCACTGTGCCCCCACGTCCATAAATGAGCCACCTATACACTGCTCAACGTTTTCGGGACGTGAAAAAAGAGAACCTCTGTGAGTAACACAAGCAAGGATCTATTAGGAAAAGGCAAGTTCAAGAAAATTGCCACTATTTTTGGTTCTGAACCCAGACAGTAATTTCTCTCCAGGACTTTGTAGAATTGAGTTCCATGAGGCAGAGTCTTATACCGACCCTCTGTATGGGCTGTTTTACTGCTATTCATTTCTCTCCTTGCCAAGGAGTCATTATTCATTATTTACCACTTGACCATGTTCGAACCGGTGATGAGATTGTGCTACTTTTATCAACTGGTCTATTATCTTCTTTTGGGTACGAGCCACACACAACAAAGGAGAATGTTTATTAGAATAACATGCTAGACTAATTTGTTTTGACCGTCAAGATTTATGAGAGCAGAGAGGGATAGGTTAGTGTGATGTAACAGATGCTCCATCTTGTGGTGACATGTCATTCAGTAACTCAGGAGCGTTCACTTGCTAGGCTAATGCAAGAGAGATGGAAATGAGTGTCTGCATGTGAGTTCTTCGAGGGGCTGGAAAACTGTAAGAAGACCTAATGAGAGATGACATCGTATCTCTGATGAGTGGAACAAAAGTGTCTGCAGGATTGCTTTAAGCATTGTTATTTATGTCAGTCTGATTTAACATCTTCATTAATAATCTTCCCAAAGACACAATAAAATGATACTTGGGCAAGTTGCTGGTGAAACCATATTTGGAGATGAGCACCAGGGAAATGGAAAGACACTGAGTGGGCCTGGAAGCTGGCACCGAATAAAAGACAGTAGAGTGTAAACACAACCTTTCTGGGGGCAGGCACTACAAAGGGAAGTGTGTTTTGGCTAGAACTGTGCTGGAAGCTCAGGACTTCAGTGGAGTCCAGAGGAGAAAAGAAGGGCAGCATAGGGAGGAGGAACTAACATTTATGAAGCACCCAGTTCACATGATCTCATTCAATCTTTACATAAGTTTCCATTTTATTTATTTATTTGTTTATCCTCACCTGAGGACATTTTTGCATTTATCTTCAGAGAGAGCGGGAGGGAGAGAGGGGGGAAGAGAGAGAGAGAAACATGGATGTGAGGGAGACACACCAACTGGCTACCACTTGCACGACCAACCAGGGCCGGGGACAAACTGCAACCGAGGTACATGCCCTTAGCAGGAACCGAACCCGGGACCGTCCGCAGGCCGATGCTCTAACCACTGAGCCAAATCGGCCAGGACCTCTTTCCTATTTTTACTATTAACTCATAGGTAGTAAAGTTTCAGATTTCTATGAGAGGGCCCATGGCTAGTGAATGGCTGAGGAAGGCCTTCAACCCAGGTCTGCCAGTGGTCAAGACCGAACTCTGCTGCACACCCTGCTGCCCCCACGGGTGTCCTCTGTGCGGCCACATCAAGCACTGAGAAGCCCGAGGCTCACAACGGGAAGTGCCTGTGCTGATGCTGCTTTTCCCCAAATTATGTGCAGTTGCTGCTTTGAAAGTCTATGGTTGAATGTTTTAATCAGATGCTAGTTTTTAAACCCACCCTGGAATCTTTCCCTCCGAATGTTTTTTGACTTTTATCTTTTAAAAACTTAATTTAATTTTTTCTATCACCATTTATCTCCACCCACCCCCTTCCACCCCCACAATCACCACACCATTGTCCGTGCCCATAAGTCCTCTCTTTTTCCCCTTTATTGCTGCACCCCCATGCCCTGCACCCCAAGTTTCATTGTGAAAAGCCCTGTAGTTTCACTGTTATGAGTTGAGTAGATTTAGGTTGTGTTGAGGGAGAACTCTCTTCCAGCCACTGCCAGCCCTCAGTCCGGTCGTCTCGGAGACCCACTGGTTCTTCCAACAGGTGCCCACCCCTTTCTTTCCCTGCAGTGGCCCCATTTCAGCGCTTCAGTACCCTTCGGAATGCTCCTCCCTCCAGTCCATCCTCCCCTCCCGAAAGCCGACAGAATGTGACTTGTGTGTTTGACAGAACGTTCTACCATCTCCCTAATCCATGGCTGAAATACAATCGGATGTTTTCGAGCAGCACCAGCTTGCCAGGTGCTGTGGCCGGCAGCTGCCCTTGAGGGGCTCACCTGACCTCACGGGCCCTGCCATCTGCTCATCCACATGTCCTGCTCCAATACCACACTGGTTCTCTGTCAAATGGATTAAGCCCAACTCCTCAGCTCAGCATTCGGCGCTCTCTGAAATTTGCCCCAGCTACCATTCTGTTCCTGTTTGTTTGAGATAATTGAATACCTTTACCTTTCCTTTCCTACAAAGCTCTTATAGTCCAAATAAACGATACCATATTAATAAGACTATAATTTATTGCCCTGGCCGGTATGGCTCAGTGGTAAGAGCGTCGCCCACAGAACAAAGAGTCCCGGGTTTGGTTCCGGCCAAGGGCATGTACCTCAGTTGAGGTTCGCCCTGGCCCCGGTTGGGGTTGTGCAGGAGGCAACCAATTGATGTGTCCCTCTCACATTGATGTTTCTCTCTCTCTTTCTTCCTCCAGCTCTATCTGAAGATTAATGTAAAAAAAAAAAAAAAAAAAAAAAATATATATATATATATATATATATATATATATATATATATATCTCCATCCTCAGGTGAGTATTTAAAAAAAAGACTATAATTTATTATTGTCAGAATTATTAAATTATCAATATGAATGTTATTTTGCCAGTTTTGTGCCTCCAAAGTGGTTTTTCAAATCTTCAAACACCTCTTTGTCTATGTTTACTTATTAAAGTACTACCTGTCTTTCAAAGTCCACTTCAAATACGCCATCCACAAAGCCATCTGGAGTCGTTCCAGTCAGAGGTGAACTTCCTGTCCTGAGTTCTAGGCTCTTTCTTCTGACGGACCTCAGGCCCGGAGCCCTGTGGGACCCAGCCCACCGGCGTGCGTGAGAGCGAGCTATGCACTTCCCTTTGCTCTCATTAGATTATAAGCTCCATGCGAGTAGGAAGCTGGCTGTTCCTTAGTGCCCACTCAGCTCCATGTCTTGCACAGAGAAAGTGCTTTCTTTTAATTTGCAAATTAAGTTACTGAACAGATTACTTGATTTCAAGCAACAAAACTATTGTGTACTTACTATATTCCAGGCACTGTAGCATGTCCTTGAAATACCTCAGTGAACGAAACAGACAAGGAACGAGTCGGGGCAGGGATAGGGAGAGACAGATAATAAACAGTAAACATAATAAATACTTTCATTCTGGAAAAAAATTGGACAGCATCTCAGAGGATAGTAAAAGCACAGACAGAAGGAAAAGAAGAGCAGAATAGTGAGGATTTGAGAGTCTTTGGGGTTGGGACTGGTAGTTGGAGTAAGAGGTAAGATTTGCACAAGGGCTTGAAGGTAGGGGGAGCTAGCTATGCTGTTCTCTGGGGAAAAAGTGTTCCAGAGGGACAGCTGGGTAAAGACCCCGGGAATGGGGTTGGAGGTGTGTCAATCAGCCACGAGGTCAATGGGCAGAGTGAGAGAGGAAGTATAGGACAGGGAGTCAGAGAATCAGTGAGAAACCAGATTATATATGGCCTTCTGGCCATTTTAAGTATTTTGATTTTCACTCTGAGAGAAATAAGAAGCCACTGCAGGAGTTTGAGAAGAATGAAATTATACAACTTAACAT